ATAAGACATCTTCCCCTTCTTGGGCTACCATGTATTCCCTACCACGAGCCCATCAAGACCTCTTTCTCCTCACGGGCCACCATGCCCTCTCCACCTCTAGCCCACCAAAACATTTATTCTTATTGGACCAAAATCCTCGCCACCAATAAAAATGGCCTCCCTTGAACTAATACTCTACCAATAAAAATGGGCCCATGGACTTATGGCCCATCAAGATTGAACATATTTCTTAAATAAATGTGTTTAGTTAAAATAAAATATTGTGAAAATTGGATACATTTTAAACAAATAAATTTACCAAAATGCATTTGATTTTTTTTAAAAAACAAATGCATTTGATTTTAAAATGAGGACAAATACAACTTTTTCTCAAAAATCGCATTTGGGAAAACTTGGACCATACACGAAACATATTTGGAAAATGCATTTGATGTAGTATTACATTCTTAACTTGTAAGCACAATTTTTCAAATATGTTTGTTGTAGGAAAGATGGAGAATATATGCTCATATAAGAGGTTAAAGTATTTATAAGGTCTCTGTAATATAAGATTGTTTTGTTCAATTTAATATTTATACTTTAATTTTGTTCAATTTAATTCTTTTACTTTAAAAAGTACTCCGTAAAACAATTAAGGACGGTAGATGATGTGACACTGACATCATCTCCCACGTTATCATACTTACATACCAACTCATATATTATTTTATAAATATTTAAATTTAATTATTTTTACCAACAATATATTACATTAATATGTCCAAAATAATTAAATACATAAATATTTTCTCACAATGATATTTGAAGACCGAACCGCTTACATTGAGAAGGCACTCACTACCACTTTACCACTACCTTATCTTGAAAATTCATTGTAAAAAATGATTAAGTACCATTATAATGGACAAAACTTTTAATCAAAACTTGTCAAAACCCGTATTTACATTTCACTTAAATGGAAATTAAATTCGTAATTTTTTTTGTTTTTGCAAAAATTAAATAATGTCAAAGGCAATTGGCATTTTAAAAAAACCATTAGTAAAATAATATTAATAAAAAAATTAATAATGACGATAAGTATGTAATATTTTAATTTATTATGATCTATAATATTTTATAATTGATATTTTTATATTTTGTATTAAAATGCATATTACTTATTATTTTATCAAAAAATATTAACATTAATAAAAATGTATTGTGCATTGCTAATGTTAATTTATTTTTTTTTGAATATATTAAGTCATCTGTATTTTAATATAAATTTAAAAACTTTATTTGTAAAAATTTGAATAAATTAAATTAAAATATTAAAATTTAATATTCATTTTTTTTATCAATTTAGATTAAATTATTTAATGTATCAATATATTATTTTTCATATTAAATGCCAACTATATTTATTGTATCAATATATTATTTATTGTATTAATGGAATTTAAAAAAACTATAATGATATTTAACCATTAGTTTTGTATTTTTATTACAACTTAAATTTCCTACCAATCTCATTTTATAATGATACTTAATCATTTTTTACAATAAATTTACAAAAAATGATAGTGTTAAAGTGGTAGTAAGTGCTTTCTTTATGCAAAATTTTAGGTCTTCAAATGTTATTGTGAGCAAATATTTATGTATTTATTTTGGATGTTGGCATGTAAGTATGATGACCTGGCAGAAATGATGACAGCACCATATCAACTATTGTTTTTAATTGTTTCACTTTTTAAAATACAAAGACAAAATTAAACAAAATATTATAGTATAAGAATCTCATAGGCAGTTTATTTTATATGTTGTCTCAATTTAAGTCCTTTGTCAATTGTCATCTTCAATTCCATCCACCTGTCTTTCCTTTTGAATACCATTCAGTGTTATCAAGCTAAAACCATAATATAATATAATATATTATGTATTATATTATATTTTAAATCAATTATATATTTATCCTGTATAATCGATTTAAAAAATAAACGTTGGACCAACCCATTCTTTGTCGCTACCACCTATGGCTTGCTTCTTATTCCGAACCCAACAAATTAATAAATATTTCCCCCCTACCAAAAAGTATTTATTTACTTAAATAATTAATTTCTCATCTTAATCAATATAATAAATGGTGTCGTAAACCCATATCTATGATGTCATTGGTCAATATTAACCAAGTCACCTCGGCTTCCAACCTAATATTACAGCAAACATTATTAAAGAAAAAAAAAAAAAGTTTGACCACTGTTGTGTATAGTATTAGGTTGTGGGGCAGCATCACAACTGTCCCCATTTGCCGGATATGCCAAGGCCCCTTGACTATCTTCATTGTGTGCATATATATTATATATATTCTATGCATGTGCTTTATCCTATTTTAATACTATTTGACATCTTCCTATGATTCAGATATGCTTTTTTGACTCATATTATTGTATGGTATATAGTAGCTACCTAGCTTGCTCTCTCGAACATCTTAGGAAATTGCCAGCCACACCACAGTTCACACTCTTCATCCACCTTTCAATTTGCCCCACTTTTTCTCAAATATGTATATGTTAGGAAAATAAGACTGATAATATGAACATAAAAAAATGTTGTAATCACTGTCATAAAAGTAAATTTGCCGTTATTGATGCAGATTCACAACAACGGCAGGCGTTGCCTATGAGATTAACATAGCAATCTTCGTCTCTATACACCTAGAGCAAGGATTATATTGAAACTTAGGGCAATCACAATAGTGATTTTTGAGGAGGCAATGTTTATGTGGAGTCGTGGAGGAGAGAGGGAGAAAAGAGGGAAGGAAATTAAATGAGTATTTGCAGGATGTGTGATTTTTTGACTGAACATGTGGGGCCCGTGTGGACAAAATGTCTGCGCCTTGTTTGCGTGTTTAGTGCAACTTGCACACCCAGAGGGCGCATAAAATTAAGCTTCTGTTTTTTCTTTTCTTTTGTTCTCTCTCGCTCTCTCCTCATCTCTTTCTTTGTAATCTGACAAAAACCCCTAGAAAAATCATGCCTATTGGAGATGCTCTTATACAACATACTCAGAATAATAAAGGGACAAGAAAAAGATAAGATAGTATATGTCTGATGTCTAAATTAATGTATGTTTCCCTTAAATAGTATAAATAATGAAATAAATATAAACAACTACATATATACCATCAAAATTAACTTACTAATATAAGTTTAACTTGAACTAACGTGGTGATGAACACCCTACTACGCTGCCTTCTCATCGAGTCAAGAGAGTTAATGGTAGCTGGATACACAAATCCGATGAAAGAGTTATAATTATATTCTATCCCAAAAAATTAGTTCAATAGGTGGGAAGTACTTCAATTTCAAGCTAAGTTTAAACATAATTATGTAATTTCTTGTGGAACCAATATGACCGAGATTGTTTGAACATTATTCTTGGCATGAGGTCGTGTCTGCTTATAGTTCAACAACCTAAATACAATTTTCAAGGGCCAGCTCTTTTGCCCAAGGTATGATATATAGGATAGTATATATAGTACAGGCCAGCTAGCTAGTGTAGTGTAGTGTGTGTCTGTGTATATTACTATATATAATATAAATAATATATAATATACATATAGTCAACTAAAGATGTGTATGAATAAGAGATCTGGGTTCTTTTTTTTTTTTTTTTTTTGTTGGGCATACAGATATCATGGTAAGACTAATTCAAATTCAAACAGATGGTAGAGTTTGACTAAAAACAAGTTTGAAGATTTAATTTAATTAACCTATGAAAGAAAAAAGAGTAAAAATTTATTTTAAGTTATAAGACGACACGTACACCATCTTACAAACCACAATAATACAAGTATACAACATAATATGGACCAGCAAGTTCTAGGTTTTCGTTTTCCACAACAACTCAATGCTTTCACATGCAGCCAACATTAAGCTAGCTATATTATGAGTATGTAATGTATCCAAAACAAGCAAAACATCCAACAATACAATATAGCCTCATAAACCTCTAACCAAAATGTGATACACGAATCTATATATGGGCCATTAATTTTTCCAAGTCAAAGGAAATGAAATGAAATTATTATGTATAATGAGACAAGCTTAGCTTCTTCTTCTTCTTCTTCTTTTTTTCTTTCTTTTTTTAATAATTATATTTCATTTGTGCCCATGACTAAGTATGGATATTGTTATTATTGATAATTGATAATTTTATATATGATTTTTTTTTTTTTTTTGTGTGGCATGAAACTTTCAACTAATATAATATTGGCAAGAACCAAACTTGTGACCTTATTGGAGAATTATTTTTCACTCATCCGGCCACACACTTTGGGGTAGTTTTTTTTTTTTTTTTTTTTTTTTTTTTTTCCTTTTCTTTTTCTTTTTTAATATCAGACTGTGGGTAGTATTTGTCCTATCCGTATATACTTTATCAACCTATTGAAGCACAAAGAGACACATAGGTGCTATTGAACCAAGCTACTTGACCATTGAGAAGATGATTTTCTTCATATTAGAACTTTTAAAAAGTTAAAGGTCAAATTATTATATAGTATAGATATATTTTCAAGTATAAAAATTTTAATAATGCTGAATAATAAAATAAAAATGATTTTCCTTCATGAATTTACCTCCCAATAAAACTCTTTATATTTATTCGTTACCCATGGACGGGTTACCCCCACAAATTAGAAAAATGAATCAATTCAGTAATCAAATACAAAAAGAATCAAACAATCTCTAATAATAAATATTAAGAAGAGAATATAGCATCACTGATCATAATAAATACATTGGTTACTATAATTAAAATATAGATTGACATTTTTATAATAATAAAATAATGAAAGTAAAAACTTTGTATTATATTTATAAAATTTCCATGCCCACTTCCCATTTATAGTATTTTATATTCTTAAAAAAATTTGACCAAAAATATACTATAAATCGCATCATTTTCATTAAAATAAAAAGTTACTCAACCATTCAAAGAAATTAAATTAGTATAACACATGATAAGCATGTAATTAGATATTGTGATTATCCAAAACAATAGTACATTTATGCGATGCATGCATTAGGAATATATATTTTACATCTGTATATCACAAACTATTAGTATGTAAGAAGATCTAATAGAAAAGAAAGTCAAAAAAGAATAATAAAAGAAGGATATATATATAATAATTATAGATAACAAAAAAGTGTAATTAAATTTAGAGAGGAAAAAGTCTCAACTCTCATGGCTCTTGTTTGAAGAATATGGGGGGAACCATATCTTGAAGCAGGCCGAAGTCCGGCGGCAGCTGCAACTGGGCTAGGTTTTGTTGGTGGAAGGCGGCGGCGCCGAAGGGGTTTGCGCCATGGGTGGCGAAGAGGTGGTGGGGCGGCTGCATTTGGGCCAACAGCTCCGGGGGAAAAGCGATGGGCGGCGGAGGTCCGCCTAGCAGCGGCGACGATGGAGTTAGCAGAGACGGCGGCAGCATTCCGGCGATGGTTCCCCGGAGATTGGTGGGAATGTGGTGGTTGTGTTGGCCCTCGTAGGTTGTGATAACAATGGAAGGGTCTTGGTATGATCTCTCCACACGTTTCTTGACCGGACATTTTTGACTTGTGCACCTGTAATAGCTTCTGCATTCACACCAACAACACCAATCATCATTCATCAATCTCTGCTAATAACTTGTGTTACAATTAAACAATCCTTAATCTTGATCCCCTACCACAAAATCCGCTACAAACGTACCAAGGAAGAAACAACAAAACTATATATATACATATATACAAAACCTTGGCTTGAGCCTCTAGATTCATGGTAATTAAAATAACTCCATTACTATATGCAGTATATATACTATATTGAATCTTTGTTTTCTCGGGATGAGACTAATTCAGTTAAATCTGGATTCGGGACAACTCTAGGACAATATTATTTCTAGGGTTAGCTAGTGTGGGTAGGGCAATATATAGTATGTAGGGCTTAGTACTAATTAAGAGATATGGAGAAGCTAGAGTTTATGTGGTACCTTGGATAAGGGCTATTCTTGACAGCTTTTTGTCCATATTTTCTCCATCTATATCCATCTTCAAGATGATCGACTTCACTCTTTGTCATGAAGGCAAATCGCGGCTGACGTTGCTTCTTCTCCGCCTTCTTCTTTCCCTTGTTCCTGCTCATACAACCAAGCTGCAGTGAGTAGCTAGTAGAATCACCAAGAAACATACAACAATATTTGTTCTTTGTTTTCTTTGAATGGCCAGGGAAACTGCAGTCACTGCTCAAGAGTGTGCACTGACTAAATCTAGTTGTTCATAGCTGGTCGGCTCAAATCAAAGGCTAATAGGTCTTGGGTTAGAAGTCAAAATTGTAATCTTGTGGTTAACAAGTCTAACACTTACTTGATTGGAGCATAGAATATATGTTGTTTGTTCACATGCACGAGAGGAATATAATGGAACTTACTCTTTCTTATCTTCTCCATCTTCTGAAGCATCCATGGCTTGCTTATCTCGCTTGGAGCCCTTGTTGGAGTCCTCGTCGCCGGCAGCTTCAGTGGAGGAGGAGGAGATGGAGGAGTTAGGGGTAACCGGGGTTTCATTAGCATTAATATTATTACTACCGCCTCCGCCCCCGCCATCGCCGGCGTTCATTGACGAGGGTTTCTGCTCATCTTTCATGGCGGAAAACGCGGCGTCGGCGGCGGAGGAGGAGTGGGGTGACGAGAACCCGAAAGCGGGTCTCCCAAACTCAGTCGCCCCGATCAAGTGGTCAGTGAAGCTCATGTACGAAGAAGGATCAAGAAAACTGTGATGAGGGTTATTATTAGTAGAGGTGGCGCCGGCGCCGGCGTTGGAGTAGAGAAAGCCGCCGTGAGATCTCTCATCTTCTTGAAATGGGTGGTGGTAGTACAAGTCTCTTAGGTCTTCAGACATGGCAGAGGAAAAGGAGAAGGAAGAAGAAGAAGGAGGAGAAAGAGAGAAGGGATTCGATAAGAGAGCTTTGGTAATGTGTCTTTATTTTAAGCTTTGACAAAGAGGATTTTTTGAGCGATGTATTTAATAAATTATTAAAAGAAAAAAGAAAAAAAAAAGAAAATCTAAATGTTGATGAGATGGTGACCCCACATTTTGTAAAGAAGGTTTGACAAAGTTATTGTTAGGGCCGAGTCACTTATCACTATGAGTCCCTCTCAGCATCCCCCATCCTTTTATTTGGATTTTCATATTGTTAAAAAAAATTACACTTTTCGTTTATTAAGTTATAAGGTAATGAAAAGTTATAAGGTAATTATACTTGTTGGTCTTATTCACTTTTCATCCTTAAGCTATAAATGACGTTGTAAATTTTGTTCTTTTTTTAATAGGTCGTGTTTACTTTTTGCCCTTAAATTATAACCAACGTTGCAAATTTCATCTTTAATGTTTTATTAGAAAAAAAAGATGAAATTTGCAACATCAATTATAATTTAGAGACGAGAAGTGAGCACGACCAATCAGTAATGATAAATCTTATAATGATTTTATAACTAAAGGGGAGAAGTGTAATTTGTCCTATTTTTAATTTTCACTCCAAGAATTCCAAGCTAATAATAATAATAATAAAATTAAAGAGAGAGAGAGAGAAAATAGTGCCAAAAAAGGCAGAGAAATACAAAGCAGTCTTCCGCGACTAAAAGCTAGGTTCATTAGAAAAACGTGGCAATCTTTAAATTTTTGCTTCATAAATTTAAAATGACCATCCACCCCTATGTGTACGTTCTCACACCACATATATTCCTTAACCTTTTTTCTTTTTTCGATGGTTGAAATTACTAATAAGATTTTTGTAAATTTGAAAAATAATAAGAATGTTTATTTATAACTGAAAACTCTCGCCAAAGACTTTGTGATCAAGTGACATAACTATGTCTATCCCAATTGCGAGGTTACTAGTTTGAGTCCTATCGTGCTTAGTGTGAAATGATGTATTCCCAGATTTTCTCACTCCCTTTATCAACGTAATGAATAATTTCTTTTATTTAAAAAAAAAATTTATGTAACAATTGTCAGTCAAATTTTACTCCAAAAGAATTTAAAACATTAAGATGTTAACAATTGTAATATGTTAATTATTAAATTATTTTGAGATTGATGAATATTCACATCCGTACCTAGTAAGAGTCAATTTATAACTTTCTTATTATTCCAAAAATGAACTTTAAAATCAAAATACATATGTGTGTGTACATGATCTCTAATGCTCCTGACCGGTCCAGGAGCATAAATATAGGCTTTACGGAAGTCCAGGAACTAGAACACAGTTGTCCCACTTCTACCATAATGTTTTCTTGATAATTACAACTCTATAATATTATAGCAGTCAAATATCAGAATGTACAAATAATTAACAATAACAAAAATCTCAAATAAAACAAAAATAAACATTTTTAAAATTTAAAATACAGAAAATATTTAAATTTCTTTTTTATTTTATGACGATGAAAATCAGCAATCATTATTCGAGTGTGTATATAAAATAAGCAATGTTCCTATGTAATAGATTGTACTATCTAGAAAGACTTTATGTGACAGACTCGACCAAGTGTACACTCGGGTGTGGGTCTTAGTGCTACACAAGTTTGATTTAATTCCGCATGGGGTTAGGGAATGATTAATAGGATTACTGGGTTATTAGGATATAATTTAGAGAAGTTGAGAACATTGATTATCAAAAAAAAATAAAAAATAAAAAAATTAAAGCCGGACTAAAAGCCGGGAGAGTGTTTATTTGAACTGGAAACAATGATTATACGCAGTGCATGAATCCATGATTAGCATAGTATTAGTACTGGCATTCTGAAAACACAGTAGGAGTAAACTTTTGAAAGAACTGGATTGGATCCCCCATCAAACTAACAAAAATATTTGAATGAATCAAATTGTATTACAGGCTATTTGGTTGAATGTAGATGTAATTTCTTTACAATATAATTTCTTGACATTCTACATTCTGATGTTTGATTGGAGAGAATTGCAATTCTTTCCTTCCATTCGATCGAAGAATTGCAATTCATGCATTCTTCCATGAGAATTCTAATTTGGCACCATCTTACAAAGAAAAAAACAGGAAAATGATTAAATTATCCCTTATTATTATTATTATTATTATTATTATTATTATTATTATTATTATTATTACACAAGGGCATTTTAGTCTTTATATCACTTGTTTCATTTTCATTCCAAATAATTTTATTCTTCTACCCTACCAAACAATATAATTTGAATTCATATTTTATTCACACCTTATTCTTTTTCCCACCAAATTACAATTCATTTCCTCCCTAATTCTCTCCTCCCAACCAAACGCCCTATTAGGTGCTCTTTCGAAAAGCGATAATAATAAAATACTTAGAGCAATAGTAATAATATCAAAGTAGTTGAATGTTCTCATTTGATCCATTGTCAAAATCAATCACTTACCACTATAGCTACACCAACAAAAGCACAACTTTAATTTATAAATGGGAAAATTGTCAAATAGACCCTTGAACTATAGGCAAAAGAGCAATTAGGCCCTTTAACTTTTAAAATGTGCAATTAGGCCCTTCAACTTGTTATTTTGAGTCAAATAAGTCCAATAACAGATTTTTCACCTGTAATAACCAGTCAAAAAATTCCGGCGACATTTTCCGGCGAAAAAAATTCGACGACAACAAAATTTAAAACAAAAAAAAAAACCTACCGGAGAAGGCGACCAGATCAGGTCGCCTTCTCCACTGGAGAGGGCGGCCAAATCTGGTCGCTTTCTCCACTGGAGAAGGCGACCTGATCTGGTCGCCTTCTCCAGTAGTTTTTTTTTTTTAATTCGCCGGAAAATGTCGTCGGAATTTGTTGACCGGTTATTCCAGGTGAAAAATATGTTATTGGACTTATTTGACTCAAAATAACAAGTTGAAGGACCCAATTGCACATTTTTAAAGTTGAAGGGCCTAATTGCTCTTTTGCCTATAGTTCAAGGGTCTATTTGACCCTTTTCTCTTTATAAATCTATGACTTACCTTGATACCAATTGAGTTTATAAGATTATACCAAACGCTTAATATTATGCAGCAAAAAAAAAAAAAAAAAACTAATTTTAAAAAGAGTTAGTGTCACGTTTCTATGACAATCCTTTACCTTTTAAGCTTCCACCTACTAATAGTATCTTTTTAGCTGATAATTTTACGATTAAAATAGTGAAGTGTTATAATTTCTGGAATCATAATTCATCTAAGATTACATTTCAAAAAGAGTATCAACCGCGGCATTTGAATGCAAGTATGATTGGTAAATATTTGAGGGGATGAAAAGCTGATTGGGCAGACAACATAGTAGAAGTGATCCTATGTATGTGAAGGGAAGGTGTAGGGGTAGATATAGGGCGGAGTAGTCGGATCGGAGAGTGAAATAATAATAGTGAATATTGGCATTTGGGAGGCAATTGCGTGTAATTGGTTTGTTGTACAGAAAAGTTGGGTATTTGGTTGGGTAGAGAATGGTGTTTTCAGACAGCGACACCCAAACACGCGTCAGTCCTGGCCACCGCCATTTGACTCTACCCGACATAACACCTTGTCACGTCGCCTATGCTACGCTCTTAAACCTGCTATCCCCGGTTTTGCCTCACTACACCACCTCTCCATTCAAAATGCTCCTCTTTTATATTTTTTTATTTTTAATATTACTAACTCTATGTCTCTATTACATTATAATTTTTGTATACATACTTTTATAACATATTAAAGCGCAAAGAGTCAATACCCCACTGAAGTTCGAATCAATGACCTCCCATTCAGGAGAACCACATGTGTGCCATTGAGCTACAACCAACATCATTACCAACACCACCAACACCGCCGCCACCACCGTACCACCACCATATTATTATTATTATTATTATTATTATTATTATTATTATTAACAAATAATATGTTCATTTTCAGTCAAATAAACCAAACATAAAAATGTAATTTCTTAACTTTTAGCCAAACAAAAAAAAAAAGATAATTTTCTGACATTCATAAAAAAAATTAAAATATTTTTCAGAAAATAGATCATTTTCTAAAAAATATTTTCCAAATTTTCAAGTGGATCCTAAATTTTTTATATTGAATTTCCCTTAAGCCAATTGTTCCCAAAACTTTAATTATATTTTTATAGTACCTCTTGCTCTTATTGCTACTTCTTTTTGGAAATAAAAAAGTAATGCATCTCATTGAGAAACAAATGAGCAAAAAAAAAAAAAAAAAAAAAAAAACACACACACACACACATTAACTAAAATTGATTATTACCAATACTTTTGGGGTTGAATGATATTTAGATTGACTTATAATTCTCTTAATAAAAATTGAGTAATGCTACATTGCTACCCAACTCTCCAAAATTTTTCCCTCTAAATTCTCCTTCTTATTACATGGCATTTTCCTATTGAATAATTATCTTTATTTTTAACTAATGGTGGGTCAGCCAATTCATATGCATCCAATGAATAAAAGTCACATCCAGAGAAAAAAAATAAGAGGTAAAATTCAGGAGGGGATAATATCATTTTCCATAAAAATTAATGTATTTCATTTACAGAACTATTGGATTTGAAGATTAGAGATTGATACAAATCATATTTAATTAGAGATTTGGACGTACGTATAAATTCATTTCTTAAATTTCGTATTTCATTATAATAATTAGTAAAAAAAAATTATAATACATTATGCATTTTAAAAGAAATGATTCAAAATTGATTGTCATCATGTCGATCAGGGTCAATGTGGAAATTATGATACAACAATAATGCAAATTGGGTCTTATAATATATCATTCTTAATATGCTATTCAACCACGTGCTTCTCACGTGTGGAACAGTAACAATGTTCCTTTTTATTTTATTTTTTTTTATTTTTTTATTATTATTTTTTTTTAATATATACACTAAGTTTCTTATCTTATGCTAGATTAATCCTAAGATCGTATAATCCATATTTTAGGGTGGAGGAGACAGT